AGCGCTTTGGGAGGCTGGGGTGAGTGGATTGCCTGAGCCCGTGGGTTCGAGACCCGCCTGGGCAACTTGGTGAGACCTCATCTCTACAATAAATCAAAAATCAGCCGGGCGTGGTAGCGCTCACCTGTAGTTCCAGCTACTTGAAGGCTGAGGCGGAAGGATCACCAGAGCCCAGCAGGTAGAGGCTGTGGTGGCCGGGAGCGGCCACTGCACTCCAGTCTGGGTGACAGAGTGAGACACCAACTAAAAAAAAATAAAATAAAATAGCAGGAATGATAGCATCACCCCAGGATGAAGCTGCATCTGGAATGTTCCTCACGCAAGACTGGCACTTACTGTAGATAGAGGTCAGTGGTCAGCCTCTCCTCTCCTGGTGCGACTGCCCTCCGCTCTGAGCCTTAGCCCTTTCCATTAAAAAGGTCTGACTTTTTTTTGGAGCCGGAGTCTCACTTTGTCGCCCAGGCGAGAGTGCAGTGACACACTCTCAACTACCACAACCTCAACCTGCTGGGCTCAGTTGATCCTTCCGCCTCAATCTCCCAAGTAGCTGGGACTAGTCTGTTGCTATTTTTGAGTTGGAGTCGCACTCTGTCACCCAGGCTGGAGTGAAGGGGCACGCTCACGGCCACCGCAGCCTCGACCTGCTGGGCTCAGGCGATCCTTCCGCCTTGGCCTTCCAAGTAACTGGAACTACAGGCGCACGCCACCATTCCATTTTGATTTATTGTAGAGATGAGGTCTCACCAAGTTGCCCAGGCTGGTCTTGAACCTCTGGGCTAACGCAATCCTCTCACCTCAGCCTCCTAAAGTGCTGGGATTACAGGCTGAGCCACCGAGTCCGACTTGACCAGAGATTTTTAAGAATCTGCCCTAAGGGGCCGGTCTTGTTGGTTCACACCTCTAATCTTAGCACTTTGGGAGGTGGAGGTGAGAGGATTGCCTGAGCCCGGGGGTTGGAAACCAGTCTAGACAACATGGCGAGATCAATTAACCTTCTAAATTGTTTTCTCCCTAATTAGACTGTGCCCTTCTCAAGAGCAGGGACACATCTCACTCACCTTGCTTCCCCGGCATCTGGCACTCAGCCAGCTGTGGGTAAACGTTTTCAGTAAGTGCCTGTGGAATATCTGATATTCTGTGGCCGACACTGCCGATCTTTCGCCTCACGCCAGCGGCCTGGCAAGCAGTACCACCCCCTGCCCTGCCCCCTGTGCCACCCTTCCTGGAAAGCAGGCAAGCCCTGGGGCCTGCTGGAGAAGTCCACCTCACCTGGGCCTGCAGTGTCCTGCGTCAGAGCCCAGGGTAGGAGGTCCTGGCAACCTAGGGGGCATGGAGGAGCCTCCCAGAGGATGTCACAGGTCATTTATGTCCCCCAGAGGGACTTCTCAGTTTGCCTGGGCAGCAGGTCTGAGTTGCAGTTCCAGCCTGCAGAATCTCTTACGGGAGCCAGTTCCTCCTCCATGGAGTCAGAGGCCTGCTCCGTCTTCCTGGGAGTGTTGGGAGCCCTGGTCTTGCAGCTGAGGGTGGGGCACCCGCTCCTGACAGGTAAGGGTCTGGCATCCTGGGGGGGCTGGTAAACAGTGTGCATCTCACTTCTCCTTGCTCTCAGGCTCGTATTAACTGCCGACTGCCCAGGCTGAGGTGTTTGGCCTTTTCTCTTGGGCTCATAGGACATCCTGCTCGAAGCAGCAGGCACGGCATAGTTTTGTGAGAGGACTCAGGTACCATGGTGGCCCCTTAAGCAGGCAGTAGACCAAGCCCAGTGGCTCTCGCCTGTAATCCCAACACTTTTGGAGGCCAAGGCAGGAGGATTGCTTGAGGCCAGGAGTTCAAGACCAGCCTGGGCAACATAGTGAGACCTCCTCTCTATTTTTTTTTAAAGAATATAAATAAATAAGTAAATAGAAGCAGGCGGCCAAGGGCCAGGGGCCAGGGATCAGGCAAGTTAAACATTCACTCACCACAACCGGCTGCCCATGGATGGCCCCTCTGGAAATGTACCCGGAAGCCAGCCTTGGGCAGAGCCTGCTGGAATGTCACCTGATGCTGAACTCTTCCACCGTGACTGCAAAAGCTTCTCCCTTCCCCCTGCCTCCTGTTCGTGGCTCAGTGGCCACTAATCAACTCCATGTGAAAGGAGAGAACGGGGTTTCCTGAGCTGCCCGGGTCTGGGCAGCCTCCACCCGTAGGTGTAGTGAATCCCGAGGACCGGGCCTCAAAGCCAAGAGTCCAGGGATTTGGGCCCCTCGACCCACCCACCCCTTCCAAAATCAAAAAGGAAACGTGTGACCAGCGCGGTTACTCATTCGCTCTCCTGCCTTCAGGAAGAGTCTCACCCCAACCTGAGGGCATTTCCTGGGCAAGTGTGCCTTCTGCCTCACCCGTGTCCACACCATTCCCCAGCTGATTCTGCCCTTGGTGGCAGTCCACCCCACAGACCCCCAACCCGTGCTGACTTCACCCCAGCACTCTGCTCGCGACACCGTCCCTGGCTCCCGTCGCCTTGAAGTGGAAGTCCAAGCTCCCGCACTAGGCCTTCAAGGCCTCTGCAGCCTGGGCTCCAGCCTCATCTCCTTCCTCTTCCCCACAGGAAATGGTCACTCCAGCCTGAGAGGCCTGCTCTGAGTCTGCCCCGCCCTCACTTGCCTTCCTGTCGCTTCATCTACATTCTGTCCCCCACTCTCAATCCAGAATGCGGTCTTCCCCCTTTCAGCCCCTCTGAATCTGTCCCCCTTGAAAGCCCTTGACTCCCCCGGAAGCCTTTACGGTGCCCCCACCCCATAGTCCCCTTTCTCCCCTTCTGTCCTAGGGCTTGTCCTCTGGCACACGAGTGTTGCTCTTAGGGATTTTTTTCTTAACAGTCAGGTCTCCAGGTCTTGGCTTGTAGCTGGTCTCAAACTCCTGGCCTCAAGTAATTCTCCCGTCTCGGCCTCCCAGAGCACTGGGATTACAAGCTTGTGCAAATGCGCCCAGCCAGGAATATCTTGTTTTTTGTTGTTTTGAGTGTGAGTCTCATTCTGTCGCCCAGGCTGGAATGCAATGGCACGCTCCCGGCCACCGCAGCCTCAACCTGCTGTGCTCCGGTGATCCTTCTGCCTCAGCCTTCCAAGTTACTGGAACTACAGGTGTGCACCTGTAGTTAAAAATTAGCCTGGCTAATTTTTCTTGATTTATTGTGGAGATGAGGTCTCACCAAGTTGCCCAGGCTGGTGGTCTTGAACCCGGGGGCTCAGACAATCCTCTCACCTCAGCTTCCCAAAGTGCTGGGATTATAGGCGTGAGCCACCATGTCCGCGCCAGCCAGGAATATCTTATGCGTGGATCTCTTGCCTCCTTAATTCTGTGATAGGCTCTGTAGGGAGTGGGCTGTAGGTTTCGTGCCTTTCCATCCCTGCCGCCCTGAGCATAGTGCCTTATGCATTCAATTAATGGACACGACATGTCCGTGGACTTCGTTGATTGGCCAAGAACTGAGAGAGCCTGCCAGCCTTCTCCGAGGGAAAAAGTCTGGACTTGGCTTGGCTGCTGGCAAGAACCCCCGGCTCTGATTCTCTAGCTCCCAGAATCCCAGGCCCGGAAATTCAGAGAGACACTGGCTAGTTGGATAATACGGTACTCACAGTAGCTTACCTCTGGATAGCACTATACAGTTTCAAAGTGTCTTTTATGTATATGCGATGCTTATACCCTCCATAAGGCAGATGTTATTTTCTCCATTTTATAGATTTTTTTTTTTTTTTTTTGAGTCGGTGTCTCACTCCGCCCAGGCCGGAGTGCAGTGGCGCGCTCCTGGCCACTGCAGCCTTGACCTGCTGGGCTTTGGTGATCCTTCCGCCTCACCCTTCCAAATAACTGGAGCTATAGGTGTGCGCTACCACATTCGGCTGATTTTTTTTATTTATCGTAGAGATGCGGTCTCACCAAGTTGCCCGAATGGGTCTCAAATCCGCGGGCTAAGGCAATCCACTCTCCTCAGCCTTCCTAAGTGCCGGGATTACAGGCTGGGCCACCAAGTCCAGCCCCATTTTATAGATTTAAAGACTGAGGTTCAGAGGCTCAATGACAAGCCGTGGACTAGAATCACCGGACTTGTTCTTCACTGGCCTGAACTCTCAGAAGGCTTCTGGCACCTCTTATCGAGTCCTTACTGTTTTCTGCCTTCTGGATGCTTATTTGTTTGAGAGATGGGAGTTCTGTGTCTCAGGCTGGAGTGTGGTGGTGCAGTCATAGCTCACTGCAGCCTCAACCTCCTGGGCTATCCTCCTGCCTCAGCCTCCTGAGTGCTGGGACTACAAGCTCGCGCCACCATGCCTGGCTTTGATGCCTTATGTCCCAATCCAGGGGGTAAGCTCTTGGGAGGAAAGATCCATCTTTGTGTTTCCCTTGGTGCCCTGCCCGTTAATATTTGCAAGGGGAGCCAGGTGTGGTGTCTCACGCCTGGAATCCTAGCACTTTGGGAGACTGAGGCTCAAGCATTGCTTGAGCCCAGGGGTTTGAGACCAGCCTGGGCGACATAATGAGACCTTGTCTCTACCAATATATATATATATATATATATATATATATATACCTATATTTGCAAGAGAATACATGGAAGAAAGAGAAAAACACTAGACACAGAACACACCTGCTGTCAAGTCAGCAGTGGGTCTGGCCACCCTCCTCCTAACGATCCCTTCACACTCAGAGGCCAATCTCAAGACAGTGCTGCATGGGACTGCGTCTCCCCCATTTACTCCTCTTCGTTCCCTGTCCCTGTTCTGCTCGCGACCCCTGGCCCACCGTGGTCATGTCTGCCCTGCCCACACCGCAGCCTGCCCCACCTGCAGGGCCATTCAGCCCTTTGCCAGCTTCTCCAGCCACCACCAGAGCCTGCAAAAGACCCCATTGTTGCCCCTGCCCCCTCCCCTGGGACTTGAGGCCACCCCTGACTCTCAAGACCTCAAGTGATGGACAGAGAGCCACAGGGCCACAGGGAAGCCAGACATGGCCACGCTCACCAGAGATGGCACCTCCCACAGGGTAGGGCCGGCCAGCTGGCATCTGGGCGGGGTCCAGCCCCAGCTGTCCCCGGTGCTGCTTGGGGCTTGACTGGTCTCACTTACCGGAAGCCTGGCTGCGGTGTAGCCCGAGGCTGCCGGGAACCTAGGCTCGCTATTCTGGGAGTGTGATGGAGCCCTGGGGGGCCGGAGGAGGCTGAAATTTCAGTCCCTCTGGTTTCCACACTGTTTTCCTCCCCTCTGTTGATAAGGCAGAGTTCAGTCATTACGCAGAGTTCAGAACCACTGATGGTGCGTTTGAGGGCCTTAATAGCAGCTGTGGTTATGCTAAAGTCGGCCCTGGGGTACAGCACCCTCATTGTTGTATCACTCACCCTCAATTTCCTTTAGCCTGCAGTGTGTCTTTCATGCACCGCCTGCTCCATTAACCCGTTCTTCGCAGGCATTCTGGAATAGCCTCTCCCTGGTAAACCCAGTTACTGATTTCCTCTGAGGGTCTTTCTTTTCTTTCTCTTCTTTTTTTTTTTTTTGAGTTGGAGTCTCACTCCGTCGCCTAAACGGGAGTGCAGTGGCCGCAGTGGCCGCTCTCGGCCACCGCAGCCTCGAACTGCTGGGCTCCGGCAATCCTTCCGCCTCAGCCTTCCAAGTGGCTGGAACTACAGGCGCGCGCTACCACGCCCGGCTCATTTTTTGATTTATTGTAGAGATGAGGTCTCGCCAAATTGCCCAGGCGGGTCTCGAACCCGCGGGCTCAGGCAGTTCACTCACCTCAGCCTCCCAAGGCATTGGATTACAGGCTGGGCCACCGAACCCGGCTTCTTTCTCTTTTAAAATTTATTTTTCTGCTTTTTTAAAATTTTATTTAGGCCTGACTTGGTGGCTCAGCCTGTCATCCCCGCACTTTGGGAGGCCGAGGTGAGTGGATTGCCTGAGCCCGCGGGTTCGACACCAGCCCCTGCAATTTGGCAAGACCTCGTCTCTACAGTCAAATTAGCTGGGTGTGGTAGCACACGCCTGTAGTTCGGGCTCCTTTGAAGGCTGAGGCAGAAGGATCGCCGGGGCCTAAGGGATCCAGGCTGCGGTGGCCGTGAGAGCATGCTACTACACTCCAGCCTGGGCGACAGCGTGAGGTTCCAATGCTAAATAAGTAAATACATACATATTTTATTTATCTTCTTATTTGAGTTGGGGTCTCAGGCTGCCACCCAGCCTGGAGTACTGTGGCATGCTCACAACGATCACGGCTCACGGCAGCCTCGACCTCTTGGGCTCAGGTGATCCTTCCACCTCAGTCTCCCTAGTGACTGGGACTACAGCCACACTACCATGACCAGGTAGTTTTTTTCTAGGTCTCGCCATGTTGCCCAGGCTTGTCTCGAACGCCTGGGCTCAGGTCACCCTGAGAAGACATCCTACCCTCCATCCAAGGTCACACATTGTGCTCATAAAACTTGAGCCCAGTGTTTTGACTTTCTGCCGTGGAATCTGAGAGTCTGAAGCTGGAGGGGGCAGGAGAAAAGTCCAAAAAGCCCAAAACTTGCTCATCTATAAAATGGCGCCATAACCTCTGCCTCCAGGGTTTGCTCTGGCGATTCAAGGAAAGCCAGATCCAGGAGACCAGCAGAGCTCAGTGATTTGGGAGCTGCTGGCCCCAGACTGTCTCCTTTTGCTGCACAATCCTGAGGGAAAGCAGCCTGCAGAAATGGTGATGGCCAGGCATGGTGGCTCAAGCCTGTCATTCCAGCACTTAGGGAAACAGAGGCGAGAGAATTGTCTGAACTCAGGGGTTCGAGACCAGCCTGAGCAACATGATAAGACCTCATCTCTACAATAAATCAAAAAATTAGCCGGGCATGGTAGTGAGCGCCTGTAGTTTCAGCTACTTGGAAGGTTGAGGCAGAAGGATCACCTGCACCCAGCAGGTCAAGGCTGCACTCTAGCCCAGGCAACAGGGTGAGACTCCAACTAACAAACAAAAAAAAAATTACCCAGATGTGGTGGTGCATGCCTGTGGTTCCAGCTACCTGGAAGGCTGAGATGGAAGGCTCACCTGAGCCCAGCAGGTCAAGGCTGTGGTGGTCATGAGCGTGCCACTGCACTGTAGCCTGGATGACAGAGTGAGACTCCGACTCAAAAAAAAAGAAAAGAAAAGAAATGGTGGTGAAGCTGATTCTTAAGCGTCTCCAACTTAGTGCACAGCCTCTGCACCAGTTTTTTTTGGAAAGCGGATTTCTGGGACACCTTTCTGGACCATTGAATCACGATCTCTAGCTGAAAAGCCTATGAGCCGTGTCCCCACAGATGTGACTGGTGAGGCACATCGGCCTTGAGACCAGGGAGACAGGGTTAAAAGGACTGAAACTGAGCCGGGCTTGGTGGCTCAGCCTGTAACCCTGTGCCTTTGGGAGGCTGAGGTGAGTGGATTGCCTGAGCCCGCGGGTTCGAGACCCGCCTGGGCAGCGAGACCTCTTCTCTACAATAAATCAAAAAATCAGCTGGGCGTGGTAGCGCATGCCTGTAATTCCGGCTACTTGGAAGGCTGAGGCGGAAGGATCGCTGGAGCCCAGCAGGTCAAGGCTGCGGTGACCAGGAGCGGCCACTGCACTCCAGTCTGGGCGACAGAGTGAGACTCCAACTCAAAAAAAAAAAGGAGTGAAACTGGCCAGGCGCGGTGACTCAGCCTGTCATCCCAGCACTTCGGGAGGCCGAGTCGAGAGGATTGCCTGAGCCCGGGGGTTCAAGACCAAGTTGGGCAACATGGTGAGGCCTCGTCTCTACAATAAGTCACAAAAATCAGCGGGACGTGGTGGCATGTCACTGTAGTTCCAGCGAATCCTTGGAAGGCTGAGGTAGAAGGATCGCCGGAGCCCAGCAGGTCGAGGCTGTGGTGGTCGGGAGCGGCCACTGCACTCCAGTCTGGGCGACAGAGTGAGACTTCAACTCAAAAAAAGAAAAAGTGACTTTTAGATATCTCCTCTTTGCCCTTTTGCCAAAAATATTTTCCGAGCCTGTCTGCAGTCATCCCAATGAGACCATGGCTCCTTGGAGTCCAAAGTGGCTTACCCACATGAAGCCTGGGAGCTTATTAGGAATGTAAACCCACCCAAACCTGTTCTGCATTTTAGCAAGTGATCTAGATGGCTGCTATGTCTAAAACACTTGAGAGTCACTGAAATACAAATCTGTTTTACTTTATTTTTTGAGTCAGGGTCTCACTCTGTCACCCAGGCTGTAGTGCAGTGGCATGAACATGGTTCATCACAGCCTCGACTTCCTAGACCCTGGTGATCCTTCCACCTCAGTCTCCAAAGTTGCTGGGACTACAGGCGCATACCCCTAAGCCCAACTAACTTTATTTTTTATTTTTATTTTATTTTATTTTTCTTTTGAGTTGGAGTCTCACTCTGTCACCCAGACTGGAGTGCAGTGGCCGCTCCCGGCCACCACAACCTCGACCTGCTGGGCTCTGGCAATCCTTCCGCCTCAGCCTTCCAAGTAGCCGAAATTACAGGCACACACTACCACGCCCGGCTGATTTTTTTATTTATTGTAGAGATGAGGTCTCGTTGCCCAGGCGGGTCTCGAACCTGCGGGCTCAGGCAATCCACTCACCTCAGCCTCCCAAAGGCGCGGGATTACAGGCTGAGTCACCGAGCCCGGCTCCAGCTAACTTTAAAACAATTTTTTTTGTAGAGATGAGGTCTTGCTATGTTGTCTAGGCTGGTCTCAAACTCCTGGACTCACTTCTCTCCCCTGGACCTCCCAGAGTGCTGGGTTTACAGGTGTGAGCTGCTGCGCTGGGACCAAATCTGCTTTATTTGTTTGTTTGTTTTGTTTTTGAGTCGGAGTCTCACCTGTTTTCCAGGCTGCAGTGCAGTGGCACGCTCACAGCCACCGCAGCCTCAACCTGCTGGGGCTCCGGCGATCCTTCCGCCTCAGCCTTCCAAGGAGCTGGAACCAGAGGCATGCGCCACCACACCTGGCTAATTTTTTGATTTATTGTAGAGACGTGGTCTTGCTTTATTGTTCAGACTGGTCTCGAACCTGTGAGCTCAGGCCATCCTCTCGCCTCTGCCTCCCAAAGTGCTGGGATTATAGTGTGAGCCACCGCACCCGGCCCCAAATCTATTTTAAATACAAGCAGAGGTGAGTGAATTGCGTGAGCCCACGGGTTCGAGACCCGCCTGGGCAGCGAGACCTCATCTCTACAATAAATCAAAAAATCAGCCGGGTGTGGTAGCACATGCCTGTGATTCCGGCTACTCGGAAGGCTGAGGCGGAAGGATCGCCGGAGCCCAGCAGGTCGAGGCTGCGGTGGCCGGGAGCGGCCACTGCACTCCGGTCTGGGCGACAGAGTGAGACTCCAACTCAAAAAAAATAAAAAAAAAAAAATACAAGCAAAGGCTTCCCAGGAGAGTGAATGCAGAGCTCAGCGGCTGTGGCTGGATGTGTGATAGGATGGCAATCCGATTACATGAAGGCACTCCTGGGAACGGGGGCTTCGATGGGGATACAAGTAGCGAGAGTTGGTGAGAGCCTGGAGTCTGCAGTGGGGAGGTGCTGCAGTGAGACACTTGACTGGGCTCATGTGAAGGCCTCAGGGGAGAGGAGAAAACTGAGCCAGCCCCTACGGCAATGCCCTCTCAGGCATCTTCCTGGAGGACCTTCTGTCACATCATCGTTAACTTCTCTTCTGTTGGTGTCTGGTCTTGCCCATCACACCCAATCTCCTCTTTCTGGAAATGAGAAGAAGCCTCGGAGAAAAAGCAAGTCAGCCGAAGTGATCCCAAGTGCCTTGGGTACCGGCGACGACTTGGAAAAACCCACACTCAGTAGCCCTCCTTGATGTTTTCCAAAGGGCTACACCTGGCCACGAAGTGTCATCAGAAAGCTGCAGGCACACCTGCACATTCTTTGCATCCAATTTTCATGGGCAGTGCTGCTCATTCAAAGGTAAAGTGCACAGGTCACTGCCTTTTCTTGTTTCTGTTATTTTATTTTATTTTTTTTTTAGTCGGAGTTTCACTCTGTCGCCCAGACTGGAGTGCAGTGGCCACTCCCGGCCTCC